AATACCAAGGAAACAAAACTGCCAATCAACAAATGGGCAAAAGAACTAAGTAGAAAGTTTTCAACAAAAGAGACACAAATGACCAATAACTATTTATTGAAGTGTTACTATTTCTAGCCATTAGTAAAATGTAAATTAAAATTACTTGGAGATACCACCTCACTCCAGTGAGAGTGGCTGTCATCAACAAGTCTGACAAAAATATTGGAGGGGATGTGGAGAGAAAGGACCCTAGTCACTGTTGGCAGAGATACAAATTAATGCAGCCATTGAGGAAATTAGTTTTGAGATTTCTCAAAAAAATTACAAATAGAACTACCATATGACCTAGGTATTTCACTCCCAGGTATATACCAGACAACATCATACCCTCCCACAGAGATATTTGCATCCATGGGTTATTGCTGGTTTATTCACTATAGCAAAGAATTGGAATCAACCTAGCTGTGCTTTACCAGTGAAGGGATAATGAAAATTTGGCATACAACACATACACATGTACCATTTTCAGCTTTGAAGAAAAATGTATTCACAAAATTTTACGGAAAATGAATGGACTTCTCATGTATAATCTTTAGTGAGACCACAAAAATCTCAGATAGGAAAAACTGCATATTCCCTCTCATATGTGGAGTCTAACAATAATATATGCATATGTGTAAACAAAGTAGAAAGGAGAATAGGAAAGGCTAAATATAAGGAAGAGAAAGGACTGAATGTAGGTGATGGATATGAGTTATGAAACAGGATATAAAGTTAATTGTTTTAGTTCTACCTCTGTCATGGATTTTTTTTATTTTGATGGTAGATAACTGTATAAAATACATTCAGTAGTGAAAGTGTAAAGTCCACTGAAGGTATACAACTTCCATTCCAATTGGATAGTCTAACTATAGAAAAGTTCATTGAGCTGTCTAGAGGTTGGGTCTGGTAAACTTTGGGGTGTGTTTTTTTTGTAAGTTTTTTATAATAAAGTTTACTTAAAATTTTTAGATATCAAAGAAGAAATAAATAAAACAGTAAAAAGAATCAAGAAATCTGAGAGGTAGTTCTTTGAGAACATAAAGAATGACAGACTCCTAGCCCAACGAACTGAAAGAAAGGAGGTAACTCCACAAAACCAGATACAAACAGGAAAACATTACAATAGACACCAAAGAGATTTAGAAGATCATAAAGGAATACCTTCAAAATCTATACACCATTAGGTAAGAAAATAAATAAACAAACTTCTATATTCTCCCAAACCACCAACGATAAACCAAGAAAAGATAAACAACTTAACTCGAAACATAACAAATAAGGAGATGGAAGCAGAAATAACAATAAAATTAAAAAAAAAGATCAAAACCAAACAACCCAGGCCAAGACAGAATCACAGCAGAATTGTACCAGACTGTCAAGATCTACCACAATACATCCAAATTATTGTGTTTTTTTGTTTGCGTGTTTGTTTGCTTGATTTTTGTTTTAGTTTTTTGTTTTTTGAGACAAGGTTTCTCTGGGTAGCATTGGAGCCTATCCTGGAATTACTTTGTAGACCAGGCAGGCCTTGAACTCACAGAGATTCAACTGCCTCTGCCTCTCAAGTTCTGGGATTAAAGGAATGCACCATCACCACCAGGCTCCTAAATTATTGTTAAAAATAGAAACAGAAGTAACTCTTCCAGTCTCTTTCTACAAAGCCAGTGTTACTCTATGTACAAACCAGGCAAAGATAGATATAACAATAAAGAAAATGACATCCCAATGTGCACAGTGAACATAGATGCAAAACCCTCAATAAACTAATTGCTAACTGAATATGGATATGCATTTAAAAAACCATCCACCACTACCAAGTTGGCTTTCTCCTGGAGATGCAAGGATTAATTAGTAACTTAATGTGTTTAATAAATCATATGGATATCAAGACAAAAATCATATGTTCATCTCTACAGATGCCAAAAAGTTCTTTGACAAAAATTCACTAAGTGTTCATAATATAAGTTGTAGAATAACATCAGCAGACTCACATCAACAAAAATAAAGCCACAACCCACAGCCAACATCATCTTAAATGGAGAAGAACGTGAAGTCATCCTGTTACAGTCAGGAGTGACAAGGCTGGTCGCTCTCCCCACTCTTGCAATAGTGTGCTTGGGGCACTAGCGAGAGTAATGAATAGAGAGCACAGATAGAGTGGGGCTTGCTGTGGGATGGTCTGTATGTCAAATGTGTTGCTCTGATTGGTTGATAAATAAAACACTGATTGGCCAGTAGCCATGTAGGAAGTATAGGCGGGACTAACAGAGAGGAGAATTGAGGGAACAGGAAGGCAGGGAGAGAGACCTGCCAGCTGCTTCCATGACAAGCCAGATGTAAGGTACCAGTAATCCATGAGCCACGTGGCAACTTATAGATTAATAGACAGGGGTTAATTTAAGATAAAAGAAGTAGATAGCAAGAAGCCTGCCATGGCCATACAGTTTATAAGTAATATAAGCGTCTGAGTGATTATTTTTTACGTGGATTGTGGGACTGTGGGGCTTGGTGGGACCTCAAGAGAAGCTTTCCAGCTATAGGGGCTCGAGTCAGAAAAGCAGTTGAACTATCCCTATTTGCAGAAGATATGTAATGATGAAGTCTTTCTATGAATAATAAAAGGGCAAACTTAATTTTATCAAAAGCCTTCTTTGCACCTATTGAGATGAGCATACAAGTTTTGTCTCGAAGTCCATTTATATGATTTATACATTTATATATAACAGATCACAAAGTTCCATCGGGACCTTCTAGAAATTGTTAGAAATTTCGGCAAAGTGACAGAATACAAGATCAACTTACAAAATCTATATATGTCTTTCTATATACCCATAACAACAAAGAAAGCTGCCTCTCCAACTCTGATTTTCATATTGTCTTGTTATCTGCCCAGCTCTGGGACAGGCACCATGTAAACTTGAAGTAATCACTGAAGAAGCTCAACTGTGTCCCAGTGTTCAGATGCCATGCAGGAGCCAAAGAAGAGAAGCCTTGGCATAGATGAAACAAATTAAAAAGGGAATTGTTTACCTGGGTCACACAGAGAGCCTTTGGCCACACTGACCCTGCAGTATGACACTGGTCCATTCAACTGCAAATTTCACACATAAGCTCCAAGAGCTGGGGAGTGGACATGCAGAGAGGGACATACTTGATAAAGTCACAGGCCTGGGCTCTCAGACATCACTGAAGTTTAAGTACTTGATTGTGGGAGCTGAATGGCATAGACAGATGAGACATTTCCAGAAAAGTAAACACCTTCCAACAGGACTTGAGAAGTGTTCTGTGACAAATCTAAGGTCTGTATTCTCAGGTGACAAAGAAGAGAAACACAGAAACGCCACAGTTCGTTTGTGATGTGACAGCTGCCTTGTAAGCCCAGTGCTCTGACTGTCACTCATGTCTTCCTCTGTCTGCTGCCTTCCAGCTCCCAAGTGTGAGACAGGAGGCAGTGGGAACACTGCTGTGCAGGAAGTCCTCTGTGGGTGATGTTCGGTTAGTGCTCTGTAGGTGACACTCTGTAGTGAGTGCTCTGAGGGCACCAACCACACAGAACAGGTGTGTAGTAGATGTGCACAGGAGTCAGGGCTCTGAGGAAAGGGATCTGGGAAAGCTGTGAAGGTGCAGCTCCAAAGATGTGCTAGAACCAAAGAGAAGGAGCCTCAGTGTCAGAGAGGAAACGACCCCAGTGGACCTGTGCTGTCTGGAACTGTCAATGTGATGCTGCCATGGGTTCATCCTTCAGTGGGGGGTCAGATATACTAAATGCAGGTGCAGGAGGAAAATAAGACAGAAGAAAAACCTAGTATGAATTATTAGCAGGTCATAGTTATGTAAGTGTACACAAATACATATATGACAATAATGAAGATTGTGAAGTTGAGAAGGAATGGATGACATGGGAGGAGTTGGGAAGAAAGTGTGGAGTGGAATTGATGTAAACACTAGCCATGTGTACATTTCTCACAATAGTATTATACTAGAAAACTTTAATAAAAATGATGCAACTTGTTTCCCATGAAAAAAACTTATTTTGGAGTTTGTCACCCAGATCTGTACATCCCACTGGGTGAATATTATTCTTATTTCTACTGGGCAACAAAAACAGAACCCAAAGAAATTTGAAGGCTTGTGGGATCATTACCTTTGAGAATTCTTAGAGCAACCAGAAAAGGGCTGGTTCTGCACAGGACTGGACAGAAATCAAGGTGCCAGCCTGCTGTGAGAACGGCTGTTGGGATGCCTGGCACCTCCACTCTTTCTCTGGTAGCCACCTGCCCTGCTGTACACTGCAGGGATCCCACCCGCTGCCTTACCCCTGGCTTGCCCATGCCCGACTATTATTCTGTCTCTCTGTGACTGTGCACCTGCACCAACACCTCTGCTCAGAACAGTGGTTTCTACTCCCAAGAGTGTGAAGCACATCTGGATCAAAGAAACAAGGAAGCTCTGGCTTGTAACGTCACAGTGCCCCCTTGTGGTATGTGTCTGGAGAGAGTGAAGTGGGAAAGAAAGAAGAAATGACCACCAGGAGTGTGTGTGCATAGAAAAAAAAGGAGCAGAGAAAGGGGAGTCACAGAGGAGAGATTTACACCCATTTTGTGTGGCCCTTTTTTCTAGCTAAGGGAGTCAATAATTCTGGAGCTCTTCAAAGTTGCTTTCCAGAAACATCCAGCTGAATTCACTGTCTTGATTAATTACCTTCCCAGAAATTATTTGGATCCTGGCTATCCTTAACCTTGGCAATTTCTTGCAACCAAGGGTTAAGAAGAAAAACTTGCAATATGATGAGTGTAGCAAAGGAGACTCATTTCTTTGTGGAAGTATCTGGAAGAAGGGGGTGCAGTTGGGCTTGGGTATGCAACAGCGTTCTCACTAGGGAGGGCTTCCTTTCTCCACTTTCACCAAGGGTTTCCCTGGGTCTCTAGCCATTCAGCCACAGTGCTCTGAGGATATGAAGGAGACAATGCACATACCTTTGTTCTTATGGGAGGCCTGTGCTCCCAAGGTGATGTTGACCCACAGTGGAACCTGGTCATACTGGAACACCCAGCAGCTAAAGGTGCTCTCATCCGATTTGTCATCTTCTTGCAAGGTGTGCTTTAGAGAGTAAGTCCCATCAGCGTTTCTGGTGGCTTGAGGGAGCTCAGGAGTCAGGATCTTGTTGTTATTCTTAGTCCAGGTGAGTTGCAAGTTTTGGGGGTAGAAGTGGTTTACATGGCAAGTCAGGTTCACTCTTTGATGAGCATGATCACGGACCATGGTGATCTTCAGTGTGGGGATAACTAGATAGGAATATTAAGTGAACAGAGGTGAAATCTTGGGACTGTCTTATTACCCTCCCCAAGGTCTCTCAGTCATTTTCTTAAATATTGATTAAGTGGTTAATTGATAAGGTCCCCAAGATTCCAAGAAGACGTTGAACTAACTATATAGGCAGGGATGACCTTGATTTCCTGATCCGTCTGCCTCCACTAAGCCATCCCTTCAGCCTCTCTTTTCTTTTTATATTCCAGCCAGTCAAATTTGTGCTGCCTATATACTCATAGGTTTGGGACACTGGAGCATGCTTGACCTACTAGGATTACACCCTTAAAGAAACCTCACTATCATTCCTTCAGAAACTACAAGCTGTCAGGAGGTCTACAGCTAGAGGGCAAGGGTCCATGAGGACCTCCATTTCTTGCTGGAATGTCAAGTGGCTTGATCTTGTGCAATTCTTGTTAAGGTGTTGGGAGTTAACAAGGAAGAGAGCTCATATGTTCACTTTCTTTTTAAATAAACAACTTTGTATATGTTTCATGTAAGACAAATAGGGACATGTATAAATATCCACAAAATGTAGCTGGAAACACATGGGTAGCTAATCTGGTCAGAGTGAAATATTCCATATCATGACTTGGTTACATATCATTATAAGAATTATTAAAATGAATTACCCCACAGGAACAGGGACTCTATAATCACAACACCTACAACAGTGCCTGGCACATAGTAGCTGTTCATTGTTTATAGAACGAATAATATTTTACACAATGCTAGAGATTTCCCAGAACTCAGGATTTTATGTATAGAAGACAAGCACTCCAAGACTGATATACATCCTCAGCCCCGATTTTCACTTATTTTATTTGATTTCACTAAATCGTCGAGGCTGGCCTTGAACTCAATCTTAACCCTTACATGGCTGGAACTTTTTATATTCCTACCTGGTGCCCAAGGAGCTGAGATTACATGCCTTATGCCACAAGCTCCAGCTAATAATAAATACTTAGAAACTTTTAAACATTAGCAATGATATAAATAGGACAAATATGTTTACAGTGGAATGCTAGGTCCATACAATAGCAAGACAAACATTCGTAATCCACTTCCCATACGTTAGGCATGCTTCTTGGTGTTCTAGAAGAACCACTAGTTTAATCGTGAGAGGAAAATTACAAAGTAGGGGTTGGTTTTATTCCATTTTTAGGGAAACTGGGGCACAGAATATTTAAGACACATGGCCAATATTCTGTAGCCTACGATATGTATGATACAGCTAAGATCAAGCCCAGCTCGCCAGCCTGTGGAACCTTTATTTTTAATCCATATTCATGGTTCAAGGCTGTCAGTGATCAATTTCTATGCCCCATTTGTAAAATGGGGCTTTTGGTCAAACCTGTATGCTACCAGTGTTTCCCCACCACGTATATCAGTGATCACTCACCTAGGAGCACTTGAGAAATATTGATGGTCATTTTTAGGGGCTCATCGAGTTCCGCATGGGTGACTTCACAGGTGATCTGAGAAAAGATATCTTGTTTGGCCAATGCCACCCATGCCTTGCTTGTGACAGAGTAAACGTCTTTGCTGATAGGCAGCCGCTGTGGGGCTGAGGCTGGAAGTTCATTGTTGTCCTTTAACCAGTTAACACTGAGGTTCTGAGAGCTGAAAGGGCCCGCGGTGCAGTTAAAAGGCACTGAATTTGAAGTGGCTGTCCTCTGTTCTGGACCCTTCAGAGAGATGAAAGAATTCCCAACTACAAAAACTAAAAACAATCAAACAATAAACAAAAACCAGTTATGACTTCTCAGTGTTGGAGGAACCATTATAAAACAGTATGTGAACACTACCAAGGCCTGTCCCATGAATAATGAAAATTGTCCTTTCTCTTTTAGAGATTTAGATCAATGACTCACCAAAGTCAAAACGCAGTCCCCTGACCACATGCTCAATAGAGAATATACTACCCATGATATCTGACATTGAGGAGAATACAAATGGGCCATAATGAGCAAACAGCAAATAAAATATGACTACTATGGGGGAATGAACATCCTCAGGAAACTCAACTTGTGCAGAGATAGAAAAATGAGGAGCCACTCTAAAAGGGTGGTCAAAAAGGACATTTTGAGCTAAAACAAAAAATCTGTGTGTAATCATGGTGCATGAAGTTAACCCCTGTACCCAGTAGGCAGAGGCAGGCAGATCTCTGTGAGTTAAAGGCCAGTCTCTTCTACAGAAAGTGTTCCGGGATAGCCAGGACTGTTACACAGAGAAACCCTGTCTCAAAAAACAAACAAAAGAAAACAAAAATAAGACAACTGAGGAATGAATAAAATCCATCTGTGGAAGAGGACACAGTAATGTCATATGGGCCTGAGGAGAGAGAGTGCACATGCTTGGACACATGCCAAAGAAATCGACCATATGACCCAGCTGTACAGCTCTTTGGCTTCCTCAGTCAGCAAGACTTTAGGAGGCTTAAGAAAACAGGTCTACTACAAGACTACAAAATTGTTTTCTACATGTGCAGACCTAATTCTGTAGATTGCACAGTCTTTTCATGCTGGGTTTCAACAGTGAATAGATAATGCAAATTTGAGCTATACACACACACACACACACACACACACACACACACACACACACACACACCATACAAGGGTGAGCTATTCAGCTTTGAAAAAAATGTAATTCACAAAATTTAAAGGATAATGAATGGACTTCTCATGTATAATCTTAAGTGAGATCACAAGTCTCAGATAGAAAAAAACTGCATATCCTTTCTAATATGTGGAGTCTAACAACAATATATGCATATGTGTAAACAAAGTAGAAAATAGAACAAGAAAGGCTAAATATAAGGAAGAGGAAGGACTGAATGCAGGTGGTGGAGATGAGTTATGAAACAGGACATAAAGTTAATTGTTTTACATCCACTGCTGTCATGGATATTTTTATTTTGATGGTAGATAAGTGTATGAAATATATTTAGTAGTGAAAGTGTAAAGTCCACTGAAGCTACACAACGTCCATTCCAAATGGATAGTCTAACTATAGAAAACTTCATTGAGCTGTCTAGATGTTGGGTCTGGTTAACTTTGGTGTGTGGGATTTTTTTTGTAAGTTTTTTATAATATAGTTCACTTAAAATTTTTAGATATGAAAGAAGAAATAAAACAGAACAAAGAATCAACAAATATGTGAGGTAGTTCTTTGAGAAGATAGAGATTGACAGACCCCTAGCCCAACACTGAAAGAAAGGAGATAACTCAACAGAACTAGATATGAATGGAAAACATTATAATAGATACCAAAGACATTGAAGATCATAAAAGAATACCTTCAAAATCTATACTCCATTATGTCAGAAAATAAACAAATTTCTAGATTCTCCCGAACCATCAACGATAAACCAAGGAAAGATCAACAACATAACTAGACCCATAAAAAACAAGGTGATGGAAGCAGAAATAACGATAAAAACAAAAAGCTGACCAAAACAAAACTATCCAGGCCAAGACAGATTCACAACAGAATTGTATCAGACTGTCAAAGATCTACCACAACACTTCCTCAATAATTTTTTAAAAATAGAAAGGGAAGTAACACTTCCAATCTCTTTCCACAAAGCCAATGTTACTCTGTATACAAATCAGTCAAAGATGCAATAATAAAGAAAACTGTAAACTGGGCGGTGGTAGTGCACGCCTTTAATCCCAGCACTCGGGAGGCAGAGGCAGACGGATCTCTGTGAGTTCGAGACCAGCCTGGTCTCCAAAGCAAGATCCAGGAAAGGCGCAAAGCTATAAAAAGAAATCCTGTCTCAAAACCAAAACCAAACCAAAACAAAACAACAACAACAACAAAAAAACCAAAAAAAAGACAAAAAGAAAAGAAAACTATAGACTAATATGCATGGTGAACTAATATGTATGGTGAACATAGATGCAAAAATCCTAAACAAACTAATGGCAAACTTTATATGGTTATGCATTTAAAAAACCATCCACCACTACCAAGTTGGCTTTCTCCTGGAGAAGCAAGGATTAATTAGTAACTCAATGTATTTAATAAATCATATGGTCATCAAGACAAAAACCATATACTCATTTCTATAGATGCCAAAAAGTTCTTTGACAAAAATTCACTAAGTGTTCATAATATAAGTTGTAGAAGGACATCAGCAGACTCACATCAACAAAAATAAAGGCCCCATGTGACAAACCCACAGCCAACATCACCTTAAATGGAGAAGAACGTGAAGCCATCCTGTTACAATCAGGAGTGACAAGGCTGGTCACTCTCCCCACTCTTGCAATAGTGTGCTTGGGGCACTAGCGAGAGTAATAAAGAGGGGGCACAAATAGAGTGGGGCTCGAGTCAGGAAAGCAGTTGGACTACCCCTATTTGCAGAAGATATGTAATGATGAAGTCCTTCTATGACTAATATGAGGGCATGTTGAATTTTGTCAAAGGCCTTCTCTGCACCTATTGAGATGAGCATACAAGTTTTGTCTCGAAGTCCATTTATATGATTTATACATTCATACAGAACAGATAGCAAAGTTCCATCAGGAAGCTTCTAGAAATTGTCAGCAATTTCAGCAAATTGACAGAATACAAAATCACCTTACAAAAAAAAATCTATATACCCATACAAAAAAGAAAGCTGCCTCTCTGTCTCCGATTTTCATATTGTCTTGCTTTCAGCCCAGCTCTGGGACAGGCACCATATAAACTTGGAGTAATTACTGCAGAACTCAACTGTGTCCCAGTGTTCAGATGCCATGCAGGAGCAAAGAAGAGAAGCCTTGGCATAGATGAAACAAATTAAAAAGGGAACTGTTTACCTGGGGTCACACAGAGAGGCACTGGCCGCACTGACCCTGCAGTA